TAGGAATCTAATTCGCACTTTGAAAAAATGGATCCCTAAGCTTCGGTATGATGTTCTCAATTCTCGTTCATTTGAACATTGAGTCCCGTTTCGAACGTGCCATGCAAGCCTGAAATAGGTTTATTTTATTTGCTGTCGGAGTCACTTGGCTGTTCGTTCTACCTTCAAAGCAGTATAGCAAGCATACTTATATCTCGGAGAACGCTTTGCTACCGGGACAGGTGAGTTGCTCGATCGCCACAATATTGTTACTGGAATTTCACGAGCCCGACGTTAATCTCGAAAACGCACCTGCTGTCCTAGGTAAAGACGCATTATAGCTGGTCAGAGGTCAGCGAGGCTAATGCATATGCCGAGTTGATAGAGTCACTCGTGAATGCTAGTAGCCTGGAGTAAGTTCTCTTTTAAGAGCGTATTTTGCCTTTATATGGATATACGAATATGTGGATCTGATGAAGCAATCTCTTCTCACAAGCATAGGAAGGCAGCAGCTATCGAAAGAGAATTAAGAAAATCTGGTTTCAAAACTGCAACACAGAATTTCACCGTGAATGTTCTTGGAAAGGTAGGCGATTTTTTTTTTCCGATTGCGCGGTGATAGTTAAATCGACTTTAACACGTGTTTGTGTGCGTTGGTCACTACTTAGCCGATAACCGGTGTGAATATTTTTGCTGTTCTTAACGCTCCAAGAGGAGATGGTACGGAAGCACTAGTGTTGAGTGCGCCTTGGAAGTCAAAAGATGGGATCACCGATAACATAAATGGAGTTGCGGCCGCGCTTTCGATAGGCAAGTCACTGAAAAGTATGTCATTTTGCGTTTTACTCGTCTGATTTTAATATTCAATGTAATCTGTGCATATAATTATGAACTGTCTATTGACTTTTCATCCATTATACGTTCGACATTGAGAGTATACATATTGGTCAAAGGATATCATTCTTTTAATATCCGACGGAGACGAAATCGGCGTTCAAGCGTGGTTAGAGGCGTATCATGATTATCAGATATCAGGTAAAATTTGCATGCGAAAATCTGTATGCAACGTTCGTTTCGTGAGAACAAAGCTAAGTCGCGTGCCTCAGACATGATAGGTTCACCTTTACTCTTGCGCTCGGGCGCAATTCAAGCAGCCGTGAATTTGGACTTTCCTGGTACTCATTCGTATCACGCGTTGGGCTTGTTCTTTGGTAATTATG